AAAGGCGTAAGAGGAAAACACTCCCAGCTCTCCCAGCACCAGCAGAAACAGTCCACACCACCACGTCTTGGTTTTGAAGTAGGCTCGGGGGTCTTTGGAACCTGCCAGTCGGATGTGGCTGTATTTCTAGAAAAGAAAAGAAAGGCAAAGAATCTTTGGCATGCTTGATGCTTTTTAATGCAGGATGCTTGAGGCAGGATCAATATTTGCTTCATGATACTCACCTGGAGGTTGAGCGCAATACTGATAACAAGATGCCCAAAAATAGCTAGTAATGCACCAATCAAGTTCTCCTGTAAAAACAAAGTAAACACACAGATATTAAATTTAGCCACTAGACCCTAAAGGAAGTTGGAGCTTTTTGCACAATCTGGAAGAGAGCAGACTTTTAAAACAGTTCCTAGATCACCTGTCAATATAATCTCTGTTTATCTTCCTCCCTTTCCACATGATCTAGGGCAATTCAGGTAAGTTCCCTTGGGGCTGTGTTCCAAATCTGTGAAACTCAGGTGAAAGATAACTCTTCCTTAACAGACACTTTCTACAAGAGACTTAATTAGTGTGCATATATTTGCATTCTCTGCAGTTTCTCAGAGGGGAAGAAGATAAAGCCTAACACAACAACCCATTCACTCATTCTGCCCTTTGAAAAACTCTTTTCACGAGGATGTTTGTTGCCCTGGAATTCAGCAGAGCATGGATCAGGAACCTCTGCATTCTGCAGGTCACATTTTAAGAACTATTCTACTCTTCTCCACTTATAACATCTGCTGGTTCAGTAGGTAATTTAGCCCATTTGATGAGGCAGCCCAAATATCACAGATTTTATGCTGCTTTTTATATGAACCAGTTATTCCAAAGTAAAGGGCAACTGGTAGCAGCTCCTAGCAAGCTCCCAACCCCTTCTACGTTAGCATTCCCAGCTCAGCAATAATTCTCACGGTCTAAAGACAGAATTTGAAATAAAAAAAGGATGTAAAGCAGGCTGAGTCACAAAGGAAACGTACATTAGGAGCGAACAGAAGAGCGTGAGGCTAAGCCAGGCCATTTAGCATTTGTGTTCTTCCAACAACTGTCTAAATCTCATTAGATGTCATTAGCACTTTTCATTCCAGTGCAGGTCTCCAAGATAGAGTGGAGTACTTGCTTTGATTGACTTGGGATAACCAAGCTCACATTCATATTCCTCCCTTAACAGTAAATATACTATTGATATATTGATACTTGAAATCAAATCAAATACTTGATTTTCTCATAAATAGTAAGACATGGACTTCAAGATTTCAAGTTCTTATCAGTGGAACAAAAAGCTTTTTATCAAGATGTATGAAAACAAGATTCACCCAAGCAGTTTCATTCAAAAACACCCGAGAGATTTTCCCACAACAGACAGTAAAGTTGGCAGAAAAATGTCACTGCGTGATCACAGATGTAGCCAGAGAAGTTCAGCAGTTCACTGGTTCAGCAACTGGACTTCAGTTTAGAAGACATGGAGGAGACGATGCCTTCAGCTGAAAAGCTCCTAAGTGCGGCACAGGTTTGGGATTGGCTTCTGGACTGTGAGAGCTTGCAAGCCAACATCAGTCTGGTCAACTTTTACAACGCGCCTAGGACTGTGTTCTCAGCAAAGTACTTTTTCCAGTGGAAAAAAGCCCTTCTTGCTGGGATTTTCTGAGCACTTTCAGAATCAGGGATTCAGAGGAAATTGATTTGGGAGTAGCTCCGTTCCCACTTAAGAGTATAAGGAGGAACAACAACAACAACATGTCCTACTTCAGCTGCAGGCTCGCTGCATGACCATGGGCTGACCCACCTGAAATTCAAGCACTTGAATATACAGCAGACCAGAACATCTGATCTCAGTTACTGATGTATGCGTTAGTCTGAAAAGGCACCTAGCAGAATTTACTGCACCTAACCACATTTAGACATCCACATCTTTTAACTGCCAGTCCTTTCTTCACTTTGTCTAGCTCTTCAAGACACAGAATTTCTCCTTCTTTCTCTCGCTGCTTATATACACAGCGCATAACACACTGGGGCCTCCAGGCATGGCTAAATACAAAGACAGTGCACTTTCTGCAAAAAATATAACCAAAATATAGTGGCATTACTAGCTTACTTGAATAGTTAGGGCCTCCTAGGGATAGACTAGGGTAGAAATCTGACCTTGTAAGAAAAGGAGTCAGTGTGTGGCTGCACAGAAACCGCTGCTGTGGCCAACGGGAGTTGCTGAAGTTGCAGATTTGGACTGTTGCCTCCTTCCATGTTGGTTGACTGGAGTGTTTGCTTTTCAGCCTCTTTGACGCTGGAACTTCTCTTTAGAGAAGAGACTCGGACCTTGCTGGAACCACCTTATCTGTAACTTGGTACAACGTCTTCCCATCCATCCTGTTTTGCTTGGACAAGCAACAATTAGTTCAGTGAAGCACAAAAAAATTCTGTGTAGCCTGTCTGCTGCTTTTCTTCCCCCACCAGGCTACACTGAGATAGGGTAGACACCGTAGGCAGAAGTGTAGATAAGCCAATATTTCCAGCGAGTCAGTGGGGCAGCAAGGTTATATTCCTCCAAGGTGATACTAAGGGGAAAAAAAAAGTAAATATAGAATAAGGTCAAATGAACTCCATGGTCCAAAACCTGCAATGAAATCCTGCTGAAGGATAGGCCACAGAAAACTCCCAGGAATCAAACTAACAGCTGCACATATCAGCAGACAATGTAGAGTTTAAATGCCTTCTTACAAAGTCTCCCACGCAGAAACTCACACAGACCTCGCTTTACAAGAGCTCGCAAACTAGCTTGACCCCAAGGGTGACATATTCAGCTGGCATTTAACATCAAGCCTTGCCATTTGGAAAGCTCTTATCAAAAAGTCTCTGAAGTCCTCCAAGCCCTGCTTTTCATTTCTCTACTGCCTGCGTACCTCTGCTTGTTCAGGACGCAGCATTACATTAGTCACGCCATCCCCACGTGCTGGGGATGACAGTGCTGCTCTTCACGCAAACAGAGGTCATTTCAGTGTAATCGCCGTGAGCGGAGTTTGGAGGCTAAATTCCTTAGAGCCACACTCATTACAGGTGCCTGGAATGCACTGCACACAGCGAGCCAGTCTGAGGTCCCTGCACGCCGTGACAGCTCTTTTCACCAAAGACCTCAAGGAGCATCAGCATCATCCCCCCTTTTGTATGGAGGGGGATGCTGGCGTATAGACATTGCAGGGGTGTGATCCCCACAAGCGACACGTCCTTCTCGGTCCACTCGGAGACCACCTGAAATGGGGCAGGCTGAGCATCCCTTTGACGCAGACCCTGGACAATTGGCCTGTGGTCACATCCTGAGGTAGCAGGGCCCATCCCACGCTCAGGCCGTGAACTTCAACCCCTTTGGCCAACCTTGGCCTGCGAGGGATTACTTGAACTCACGGGCTGCCCCAGTGCCTCCAGCGTGGGGGGGGACGGGGGTAGTAGCATGACAGCCTAGCCGCGGAAGGGCAAAAACGCCCCCTTGTGAGGGGAGGTGGGGGGCAAAGCCCCCCCCCCCCCGTGAGGAAACCCTGCCCGGGCAGAGCAGAGCCTGGCTGAGGGCAGGGGGTGCCCCCAGTGCACCCTCCCCGGGGCAGGCCG